ACATTTATAAATGTATGAATCATATGGTGAAAAACTGACTTTGAAAAATAAGCATGTTCTTTTTTTATATAAGGCTAAATAAAACAAAAATATCAGTGGTAATTTTTGACTGTGTAACCTTACAAACGGCATCCCGCAGATGGCCAGGGTGGTAAGTGGAACCTGGTTGGCCAAATAATTGACACCTGAGGAAGTATGATGAATTTTGAATTTGCATTTTGATTTTGTTAAATATTGTTTTCTGATACTACTTTACTGTATAAATTGTCAACTGTGTATGTTTTAAAAATGGCTGAATTATAGCAATTTGTCAAATTAGCATTACCAGTAGTGGTTAGCTTAATATGGCATTAGCATCGGCATTTGGCATGTGATCTCTCTTAGCTATGATCACACAAAATTTTAGCTCAATATTTCTTAAAACAGCTGAATTAAAGCCGTTTGGAATTAGTTGTGGAAGCCATTTTGAATTTTGAAATTCTGAGTTTGTTTATTTATTCGTACATGCTGCCCTCCTAAAAACACATTGGCTACCCCTAGGTCACCACTTGCAAAAAAAATCTAGCTCCAACCGGTTCCAGAGAACCAGAGTCCCACAGAACTCAGASTGGTCTACATGAGTTTRGTTTAAAACAAAGGCACAAATAAGTGTTTTCCTCCTTGACTTGGTTTTAAACTAAACTTTAAGTTAAACTAAGGAAGCATAAACATGCACAATTGATTTACACATGGATCCCACTCCATCCTGTCTGCTGACCCAAGAAGAGCAGCTCATACAAAGAGGCAGAAATGCAAAAGGTAAAGTAAAAACAGGAGACAGTAAAATATAATAACAACACATAAAAAGACTTGTGGGAAAAAACAAAAAAAATTAATTGTACCTGGCGCAACTATGAAATGGCATCCATTTGAATTTTACAGTTTGACTTTAAAATTCATAGATGACTGTCATCTACAACCATCCCAAATTTTGGACAAATATATCTAAAAATGGTCAAAATATGGTCAATTTTAGGTTTAAGCTATGTCGGCCATCTTAAATTTTTCTATTCACACTCAGTATGTAATGAGGATTGTTCTTAGCTATCGCCACGCAAAACTTCAGCTCAATGTGTACTAAAATGGCTGATTTATTGCAGTTAAATTATTAAATTTTAATTTAGCATTCAGAATTTTTCAAAGTTTGTTCCTGACTGCTACTATACCAGTTTTCAGCTTCGTCAGTCTAAAAACGGCTTAATTACAACCATTTGTATAATTAGCACAGGCAATTAGCTTAGACTTGTGATTAGCATTTACAATGTGTTGTGTTTTCTCTGATACCATCACACCAAAGTTGAGCCTAATATGTGTTATGTGCTAAAATCTATTATTTGTTGAAAATTAGCTGGAAAAATAAATGTGAAGATCAAATGAATAAAAAAACAAAGATGTAGATTTCTCCTTTTTAAAATGAATTGGTTTATTTTACATGCATTTATTTATTTATTAGGCCATTTATTTATATATTTCTGCTTTTATTTCTAATTATGTCCTTTTGGTCGTCCATTATAAGAAACCTGAATAAAGCTCCTCAGTTTTGACTTTGAAATGATTTAGATTATTTTGGATCTGATGTTGTTTTCAGTGAACTGCTCGACTATTTAGGAGCAGGATTTTCATTTGTTGTTCTCATTATGTGTGTTTTATCGTGTAACTTGATCTTGACTGAACTTTTTAAACTAATATAACTCAGATCATGACATAGGATCTAAGGGAGTGTGTGGAGGAAGTCGTCAGGGTCAGCCAACGACTTTTTTGTCCAATGGATTCAAACTAAAATATACATTCATAGATGTTGTCTGGTTTCTTTTGCTTGAATACATTTGTTGGTGTGCAATAGTTTGATGACATAATGTAGGTGATATTTAGTTGT